CCTGACCCCGTTGGAAGTGTTTTATCGAACTTAAAATATTGGTTAACAGAATAAGCCTTTGAACCAAGGAGATTATAACGACAACTCCCATTGATTAACCGAGGAAGCCTATAGACCAATAAAACAATTGGAACAAATCCTAATACTACTAGGGCCCAACTATTAATCCCTTCCCAAATTGCAAACGTAGTTTCGGGTCTTCCTTTCTCTATAAAAAACGACCGCATTTAAACCTAGAACTGTAATGCCATCATACTTGCAGCAGGTATAAAAATCTGGAAAAACATTAACTGATCTGAGGACGGGCAAAGCCATAGGTTTCTCGAAAGTTTCGGTCCTACCGACCTCCGAACACTATAAACATCTACCGTTCAAATGGCCACGAGTATCATGCATTAGATAAGACGTGCTCTCATAATTTTTCCTCCCGAACCGTTCACGTAGATTTTCAGTTAGTTCGTTACAATACGTTTAGACTAAGGCCCATTGAATTTGCGAACTAGGCGCATCAAAGGGCAACAAAAAATTGTGGGTGGTCTTAGAGCTGACTTATTTCCGGAAAGATGGCTTAAATTTAATATGTTCCCCAAATCCTCTAGAAAAATAAGATGCAACCCGCTGCGAACATTCCGTATTACCCATGGACTTGACTGTTCGCTCAGCTCTGAAGGATTCTCGAGTGTTATAGTTATAAATCAGTCAGTCAGTCAGTATATTTGAGAGAAAAATAGGCTTGCACCTTTGAACTCCCTATTTGTTACATCAAAATCTCAAGCGTTATAAACAATGTTAACAATTTTTCAGTCAGGAAAATATAGACCGTCACATGGTGCAGTGGTGTCAATCGTGGCCATATCCATCTATCTCAAATTCGAATGTACTTATTTAGACTAATAAATACTTTCCTTTAGCCAGCGGGTGATTGGACTATGAACTACCTCATGAGTGAAAAGTTACTTTGAGTTCCATGGTGGGTTCAAAAGGACGTTAGCTCGTTTAATTTTTGATAATCGACGACTGTCACTGCAGGACTGTCTGTGAACAGCAATGAAATTTACTGTATGATTTCAGTTTATCTCGATCGAACCACTACATGCTTCCTCAGTTCAATTCAGGTTTATTGTAGGAAATATATGCAATCGCTTTTGAGCTCCTATTGTTGACACAGTGTCCGAAAGATATATCGATGCTGTAGAAAAATTCCAAATGTGGTCTTTCACGTGATGGTAGGCTAAAAGTGTGCAGCCGGCAGTTATTCGAAAGGTGTAAGCATGAACGCCTACAGACTAATCACGAGTAGTATAAGTAAATAGGTATGGCATATCCGCTGATGGGCGATGCCACTGGCAGGAGCCATTAGATGGGACAAAATCGAAAAGAGCAAACAGTAAAAAATCTCCTTTCGCAGTTTTCAGGTGTAAATTTTTTCGGCGCAATCTAAAAAGGACTATATTTTACACTGGCTGCATATATGTTTTGAAAATCCAAACTGCACATCAACAGAGTCACCGAGGATTCCGCTCTCACCCTCAAACACACACAAATATCAACAAAATATACGGTTATTTGATTTGTTCCAATTCATCTTTTAAAATAGTCCTCTTGGTATCACAAAAGCCTGTTTTTAACTACTTTGTTTTAACTTCCACTTTATAGTTTTAAATGCTTTTATTCTAGGCACATGGTTATTTACCATTGTAGGCCACTTATCCGCTATACCTTAGGCTATATTTTTCCAGGTATATTTTAAAAGTTCCTTCTAGAATCTGTCAATTCCAGTAAAAATACGTAATAGTTTATTCCAGAACTCAGCGATTGTAAGTTGAACATTCGTTTTTTTCTGCAATTTAAAGAGCCCTTAATCCACAACTTATTTGTTAAAACTTGTCAAACAGCGTTGCTATTAGTTACGCGGCAGTAGGGTTTTGAAATGGCGTTGGAGGAACAAGGCAAATGTGCCTTGGTGCTAGTCGTCTTTAAGTCTGCATACAGAGTTTCCTTTAGCAACACAATGGTGAAACAAAAAAATATACTGCATAATTATGGGAACGGCTAACATGTTGGGCATTGCTACAGAGGTATTTTTTTGTGCAGATGATATTTTTAAATTTCAAAAATGGTCAATTAACTTGCAACTGAAATGTACCTAAACGTGCCTATTGTTTCGTCTAATAAGGATCAGAAAAGGTCTCTGACCATATTGACATTTCAAGCACGGTTTTTAGCCAAGTTTTACTGAGTAACAGTTACTCGAATATCCCTGATAGGAAAACGCTAGCGCCGCGCGAAATCGCCTAGCGCCGTAGCGCTATTCTGTCCCTGCGTTGCGTGCACGCATAGATGTGCCCCCAGGCGACTTGCATGAAGCGTTCCTAGTCGGCGTCACCCCCTGTAACAGGGCGGATACCATCCCCCCTCTAGCTGGCGCAGGCATCCTGCTGTAGAAATCTGGGCCAAGTTGGATCTAGTCTATGC